TCCTCAGTCAGCATGGGTGGACTTCAACTCCTAGTATCCCCCAGCCAACATAGGTGGACTTCAACTCCCAGAATTCCTCAGTCAGCATGGGTGGACTTCAACTCCTAGTATCCCCCAGCCAACATAGGTGGACTTCAACTCCCAGAATTCCTCAGTCAGCATGGGTGGACTTCAACTCCTAGTATCCCCCAGCCAACATAGGTGGACTTCAACTCCCAGAATTCCTCAGTCAGCATGGGTAGACTTCAACTCCTAGTATCCCCCAGCCAACATAGGTGGACTTCAACTCCCAGAATTCCTCCGTCAGCAGGGTGGACTTCAACTCCCAGAATTCCCCAGCCAGCGTTTTCTCAGCAGAAAATGCAACTTCTCTGTTGTGAAAGTCGCGCTCCCATTTTCCCAATGACCCATGGGAAAAAGAAAATTGCAAAACTTCCCCATTCGGCCCCACAATTGCCACGGACACCAAGACTGAATTGTGCATTGCTATTTTTCAGCCCAAAGCCATTTCAGCAGCAGAGACGATGCGGACCCCCTCCAAATGAAAGCGTTAACCCCCAAAAACAAAATAATTGCGAAAGATCGTCCCCTCCCAAGCATTCTCCTGTGGGGGAGGGGTCCTTGCTTTTCTTCCTCTCGCAAAGCTGCAAAACCATGCAGCGAGCAACAAGGTTCCGTGTGGGCGTAAATGTGCCTCCAACCCCAAGCCAAGCAAACAGAGGGAAGCGATCCGGAAAAGGTAGCATCAAATAAAGAGCTGAACATAAAGAGACAGGACGACAATAAAGCTACTGGTTGTACTTACCCTTCCGCCACAGTTGGTCTAGGTTTCAAAGCAGAGGGAGCAGGAAAATGTTATTTCGTTTTAAAATAACCTTTTTTGTTTACAAAGGAGAGGAGAAGAGAAGGAGGGAGAGATGGAAGGAAGAAGGGAAGGAGAGAGAACGGAAGGGAAGAGACGAGACAAAGAGGAGAGGAGAGGAGAAGAGAAGGAGGGAAAGATGGAAGGAAGAAGAAGGGAAAGAGAGAGAAGGGAAGAGGTGAGACAAAGAGGAGAGGGGAGAGAAAAGGAGGAGGAGAGAAAGAGGGAGAGATGGAAGGAAGAAAAGGGGAAGGAGAGAGAAGGGAAGAGATGAGACAGAGGAGAAGAGAAGAGAAGGAGGAAGATATGGAAGGAGGAGAAGGCAGGGAAGAGATGAGACAAAGAGAAGAGGAGAGAGAAAAGGAGGAGGAGAGAAGGAGGGAAAGATGGAAGGAAGAAAAAGGGNATGAGGACCCGGATTGTTGTTGGGGGCAATATGCTGACTCTGTAAACCGCTTAGAGAGGGCTGAAAGCCCTATGAAGCGGTATATAAGTCTAACTGCTAACTGCTATTCTTTCTTTCTTTCTTTCTTTCTTTCTTTCTTTCTTTCTTTTTCTCTTTCTTTCTTTCTCTCTCTTTCTTTCTTTCTCTTTCTTTTTTCCTCTCTCTCTCCTTCCTTCTTTCTTTCTCCTTCCTTCCTTCCTTCCTTCTTTGTTCTCTCTCTCTCTCTTTCCCTTTTTTCCTTCTTGGGTGGATGGAAACTAATCAAGGAGAGAAGCAACCGAGAACTAAGGAGAAATCTCCTGACAGTGAGATTAACCAGTGAAACAACTAGGCCTCCAGAAATTGTGAATGCTTCCAACACTGGAAGTTTTTAAAAAGAGATTGGGGTAACCATTCGTCTGAAGGGGTGCAGGGTCTCCTGCTTGAGCAGGGGGCTGGACTAGAAGACCTCCACTATATCTACTACTTGTGCAGTTCATTGCTTTAATCTGGCAAGATTCAGTCTGTAGGCAAACAGCAATAAAGAAACTACTCAAAAAAGCTCTAAGAAGGGAGGCCAATGGCAAGAAGTAGAGACTTGGATGGGGTCCGATATCTTCCAACTTGCCTTATAATACAACACTGGTCCTTGTTGTTCCTTTGCATGTTGAAGTAGCAATTGTCGGCGATGGCAAAAATGTGGGGGGGCATCTCCCCAATCTTTTTGTTGGTGTAGAGACGGATCTGATCCGGGGAGTAAATGGGAAGCAGCTGGTAGGGATTTACGGCCACTAGGATTGAGCCTGTGTACGTCTGGAGAGGGAAGAGAAATAAACACACATAAAGTAAAAGTTCCCCTCGCACATATGCGCTAGTCGTTCCCGACTCCAGCTAGTCGTTCCCGACTCTTTCCCGTTTCAAAGCCAAAGAGCCAGCGCTGTCCAAAGACGTCTCCGTGGTCATGTGGCCGGCATGACTCAAAGCCGAAGGCACACAGAACGCTGTTCCCTTCCCACCAAAGGTGGTTCCTATTTTTCTACTTGCATTTTTTTTACGTGCTTTCGAACGGCTAGGTTGGCAGAAGCTGGGACAAGTCACAGGAACTCACTCTGTTAGGCGGCGCTGGGGATTCGAACCGCCGAACTGCCGACCTTTCTGATCGACAAGCTCAGCGTCTTAGCTACCGAGCCACCATGTCCCTTAAACATACATACACAAATGCATAGAGCCAAGGGTAAGAATAACGGTGCGAGATCAGACCTCTGGATCTGGTTATCACATTGGCCCCTTCGTGATAAGGCTTAAATGATTACTGTTATCGTTGTTGTAGGTTGTTGCTGTTATAGCAGATGATTCTTCCTGCATTTGGAAGTTTTGACGAGTTAATCCTTCCAATGTAGTGGAGTAGTGTAGTAGTAGTAGCACAGCAGCAGCAGTGCTAGTAGTAAGGTTCGCTAGATTTGGTATTGTTGAAAGTTGGAGTCTGTTATAGTTGTTCATATTGTTATGCTGATAGTTTAATAACAAACACTTTTAATAAAGAGTCAGCTGTTATAGTTGTTTATATTATTAAGTTGACAATTTCATAACAAATACTTTAATAAGGGATCAGCATCAGCTGTCATAACATTTAACCTCATTTATTTACTTTCATCAATGAAACAATTGCTGTTATTACTATTATTCTGACAATTTGATAAAATATCTGAGCCTGGAATCATTAAAAAAATATGGGACCTAACTTTTTTTATCTATTCCTGCATGGCTGGACTCCAATTCCCAGAATTCCCCAGCCAGTATGGCCAGACTTCAACTCCCAGAATTCCTCAGTCAGCAGGGTGGACTTCAACTCCCAGAATTCCTCAGTCAGCATGGATGGACTTCAACTCCCAGAATTCCTCCGTCAGCATGGGTGGACTTCAACTCCCAGAATTCCTCAGTCAGCATGGGTGGACTTCAACTCCTAGTATCCCCCAGCCAACATAGGTGGACTTCAACTCCCAGAATTCCTCAGTCAGCATGGGTAGACTTCAACTCCTAGTATCCCCCAGCCAACATAGGTGGACTTCAACTCCCAGAATTCCTCCGTCAGCAGGGGTAGACTTCAACTCCTAGTATCCCCCAGCCAACATAGGTGGACTTCAACTCCCAGAATTCCTCCGTCAGCAGGGGTAGACTTCAACTCCTAGAATTCCTCAGTCACATTGGGTGGCCTTCACCTCCTAGTATCCCCAGCCAACATAGGTGGACTTCAACTCCCCGAATTCCT